ATACGTACCACCCCCGTCAGACAGATCTATCTATCTATCTATCTATCTATCTATCTATCTATCTATCTATCTATCTATCTATCTATCTATCTATCTATCTACCTATCTATCTATCTATCTATCTATCTATCTATCTATCTATCTATCTATTTATCTATCTATCTATCTATCTATCTACCTATCTATCTATCTATCTATCTACCTACCTATCTACCTATCTTTCTATCTATCTATCTCTCTCTCTTTCTCTCCCTCTCTCTCTTTATATATATATATAATATAAGAATGACGGTCTGTCTACTACCCCGCGCAACGAATGCAAAATGTGCCCTTACATCAAACCAGACGGGACCAGAGCAGGACCATGCTCTCCTTACATATAGCCCAACACAGATCCACCGACTAGGATCACGCACTCCCTGCTCTAACGCTAACGGGCGGGAAAACGAGAAATTACGACAGACGAACAAAACTGGAGTCACTACGCATGCGCGGCTGACGCCCCACCGAGACTCCGAAGGTACACACGAGAGGGCGCGCTGACCTATCTGTGCATGAGTGCACGTACGCGGGCTCCGCGGGGGCGGGTAAATGGCGATAATTAATTACGATAATTAATGGCCTAATGGGCGGTTACGCCGGGCTGGGCGTGCATCGTGATGTCGGTAAGAATACGTGTGTAGAAGCTGTGAGATGTGGACGATCACACGCACGGACGCACGCACGTTAGCACGAACACACACGCACGGACGCACGCACGTTAGCACGGATACACACGTATACGGACGCACGCTCGTTAGCAGGGACACGCACACACACACGCACGCACGTTAGCACGGACACACACGCACGGACGCACGCACGCACACACACACACACACACACACACACACACACACTGTAAGATATCCATATGCTACGAAGATCATCGCCATTGATGCGTTTCCCATTTGCTATGTATTTTATCCTTCTCATATAAATGCAATATAATGCAATATAATGCAATTTCTATGAAATTATTGGTTATTACACTCCACGTTGCCATTAACACGGTTTCTATTTGTTACAGCCCAGACCGCCATTAAGGGATTTCTTATTGGTACAATCCACACCGCCATTAACGGATTTCTTATTGGTTACAATCCACACCGCTAATAACCTATTTCTTATTAGTTAGAGCTCAGACCGCCATTACCAGATTTCTTATTGGTTACAGTCCAGACCGACATTAACAAATTTCTCATTGGTTACAGGTCACGCTGGCACTAACGCCGTTCCGCCATGATGAATGACCTTGAAGGAGCTAACGGCCTTGACCTGCTGGGTCGAACTCTGCAGCAGCTACAGGAGGAGGAAGATCCCGGGGGAGGAGGAGGAGGAGACGAAGGAGGAGGAGACGGCTACGACGCCAGTCTGTTGAAGCTCAGCAAGCTGTTTGCTATGGGCAACAGCAGCAGTGACGGCAGCGGCGGCAGCAGCGGCGAAATTCCTTACGACCGCATCATGCGCCTACTTAACAACTCCGACGACCTGCACGCCGACTTCGACATGGACACGCTGATGCTGCCACACCGCGGCGTCACCGAGAACGTTCTGCTCGTCGTCGCCTACTCGTTCATCGTCGTCGTCTCGCTGTTCGGCAACAGTCTCGTCTGCCACATCGTCTGGCAGCAAGGTCAACGCAGCGTCACCTACGTGTTTATCGCCAACCTCGCAGTGAGCGACTTGATCATCACCGTCTTTAACGTTCCGATCAACATCGCGAGGAACCTGATGGACGAGTGGGTGTTCGGCGCCGCAATGTGCCACCTCGTCAACTTCACGTTAGTCGCCAGCGTCTACGCGTCGACGCTGACGATGACGGCGATCTGCATCGATCGCTATCGCGTCATTCTCAATCCGTTCAAGCAGCGCATCTCGCGCGCCGGAGCGCTGGCTGTCGTCGGCGTCGTCTGGCTGCTGGCGGCGGCGTTCGCGACGCCGTACGCCGTGCTGTACCGTTTGCACGCGACGATGTCGTATCGCGCGACGACGCGATGCAAGATGGTGACGACGGGAACGCTGCGCGACGCGCTCACCGTCGTGACGTTCGCGACGCAGTACGCGCTGCCGCTGTGCGTCATCGGCGTCGCCTACATGCGCATCGTGCACTTTCTCTGGTCGCAGACGACGCCACCTGGCGACCCGACGCTCGAGCAGCAGAACAGTCAGACGCGAAATCGCCGACGCACGATCAAGATGCTGATCATCGTCGTCGTCGTCTTCGCGCTCTGCTGGCTCCCGCTGAACGTCTACCACGTGGTATACGCCGTGCATCCGCGCCCGCAGACGCTCTTCACGCCGACGAGTCGCGTGTATTTCCTCTTCCACTGGTTCGCGATTAGCTCCGTGTGCTACAACCCATTTATATACTGCTATCTCAATGAAAAATTCCGGGCTCAGGCCCGGAGGCTGTTTCGTAGCTGTTTTCGGATGTCAGGAAAGGTCCACCCAGGAGTTT